CTTTCAGTCTTTTTTTTGGATTCTTGTGGTAAGATCATTTATTACCAAGACTTGGTGCTTTTACTGCTAAAGAAACACATTTAGATAATTTGAAAATGACTTGAGTTCAGGAAGGGGGATTTAAGTGACTTGGAATGTGACATGGTTAAATGTGCAGGGTGCACTGGCGTAAGCATAAGACCCACTAAAAGGTTTTCATAGTTTTTAACATAACCACCTTGATTTTAAAAACAAAAGTTCAGATTACATAATTTACACATTAAGCAATACACAGTAACAAAGAACATTGGGGTAAATGGAACGGAATTGATGAGTTATAGTAGCTCATATAACACCATAATAAAGGTATTTGGAATACCTTCTCTAAGAACATTTAGCATGAAATGTTGAAGCAGATATATATATATATATATATATATATATATAGCAGCATAAGTGTCACTCCTGTTGGGTAAAAATAGGAAGCTGAGGCTACAATCGTAGCATTTACATGATTGTCAGAATTTGACAAAAGAAAAAGTATTTCTTTGAATACTTTGGGCTTTTTAGCACCAATAGAACACTGTTTAAACGACAGCCTACCTAATTTCTCCTGTCCATTCCTTTATGATCATGGTGTACCCATCTTCTGACGGCAGTTTCCTCCAATCACCTTGCAACATATCACAGAGCTCAAATCATCTAAACTTGTTTCTTTTTTAGTTTACTCAAAAGGACTTCAGAGAGATCTCTTTCCAATAGTGTATCTCTTAAAATGTGTCTGAGTTGTAGATTCACGTCATGGGTGTGTAACCTGACAAATCTGTAACAATCAAGCTATACCATCTCAAGATGGATCAAAGTCTGGACATTTCTGACACTTTACAATGAAGTATTACAGCAGCCCTATGACAAATGGGGTTCTGACTCAGTTTTAGGACGATGCATGTCATAAGTTGTCCAGTGGGTGTATATTTGAAAGTTATACCATTAAAGTAGAATATCATAGTGCGCCATCTTTGGATTTAATGCAAATAAATGTTTGTTTTCAAATATTACATTTCAATTCAATGGCCAAAATCCTGCCAGTGAAATCAAAGTGAGGTCCTTTAGTTAACTCAGTCTCAAATTTTATCTGTTGGCTTAGAAATAAAGAAACTACTGTATGGAAATTGCCAAGCTTATTAGGGTATCAGCTTTTTTATGTAAGGTCAAAGCTCACTAGGTAATTTCAGGTCTGGTCTTGCATTGAACAGTCATCAGAATTAGACTTTCAATTACTTTGTGGTAAAGGGGTGGTTTTATTAAAGCTATTATTTATTTGCAATGTATGTGCTGTTATAGTATGTAAAAGTGTTTCTGCCTCTGGCTAGTATCACTGTCGACTGGCTTTTCTTAATTATTACTTATTTGACCAGACTGAAAAACAAAGTGAATTTGATTTCATTGTTTTGATGATGGGATCAAATTGGAATTGATAATCGATCTTGATTTTTTTTTTTTTTTTTTCGTTTTTGATTGGATGGGATTGTTTTTTTTTTTTTTTTTTTTTTTTTTTAGTTTGAAAAGTTTTTTTGA